TGCTGGTATCGAACACCAACTAAGGTATTGTCCTGACACAGGTTCAGCCTCTTGAACGATCAAACCAGGAGAGCTTGCGTGCTTATTAGATCTCCTTCCATTGCTTGATGTCTGCCCTTTCAGCCAGTCGCTCTTCATAGCCTCAAACGCACATCTGGCGGTGCTGATCAGATGCACAGTAGGTGCCCAGGGCTGGATCAATCACTGGATGAATTTTTCATCATCCACTGATTAATGAATCCTGACCTTTCACAGATCCAGTTTCCTAGACTTAAAGTTTTCTAATAAGGAAATGCTCTTGGAGTAATTTCTAAGTCACTGTTTATATTAAAAATTAAAACTTGGTATTTCTCACTCAGTTGTCACCCTAGAATTGAGAGAGAGGGAAAAAATCACAAGGGTAGGGAGACATCAGGAGAGGGCAAGAGGAGGGCTAGCAGCCATGAGGATTGTACAAAAGTCCAAAGAACAGGAAGACGTGATAGAGGCAAGCAGAAAGGGGAAAGGCAGCCCGAGATGAAGAGATTGTGTACGGTGATTCCAGACAAGGTGGAGAGAGGCAGGTTCATACTGAGAGGGAAAGAATACATATTTGTTGTCGATACATTCAGAGGGCCTTAATCTGCCTATTTTAAAAGAATTCATTTTCATGAGAGAAATTAAATCAATTCTTTCCAACACTAATTCTACCTTTTGCAGTTTGGTTTTTACTACAGAAAAAAAATCATATAACCTTAAGAATTTAAAACAGCCAATTTATCATTCAGATAACTTCACATAAAATTCCTGTCAGATGGTGATCTTGCCTCTGGGCTGGGCACAGATGAGGTCAGGACACAGTCCCCACCATGCAGAACTGGAAGGAAAGCCACTCCTAGTGTGTGGGAGACGGGCTGGCCACCCTGGGATGCTGGCTTTATAGCCTGAGTGATTCAGACTTGTCGGTTTATCTTAAAATCTGCCCATCTGGTACTTTTTCCTCTCATCCTTCAACCCTCTTATGCACACTGGTCTATATACACTTCAAGGACTTGAAAATAATTGTCACTTCCATATTTTCTCAGGTCCTTCATCCCTTCCTGGTTTGACCTAATGTATTGACATTTAACCTTTAAACACAGTTTGTCAGTATCTCTCACGAGAAGTACAGTTGATTGCGAGAACAGGATGTAAGCCCCACGTAGTCTACCATAGCCTACCCCGGCCACGTGCTGTGAAGCTGTTGTCTCACTTGGAGGTACTAAATATCTGTTGATTGAAGGTACGTAAAGCAGCTAATTCTTTGTGGTTTTCTTCTTCCTCCCGTGAACAGCCTTCTTCCTTAAATAATCAGCTGGTATCTGTGGACTGCAAGAAAGGAACCCGAGTCCAGGTGGACAGTTCCCAGAGGATGCTGAGAATGGCGGAGCCAGACGCGAGATTCAGTGGCTTCTACAGCATGCAGAAACAAAACCACCTACAGGCAGACAATTTCTACCAAACAGTGTGAAAACAGGCAACCTGGATGAGGTTTTGAAAGACAGAAAACGACTAAATCTGCTCTTAACGGTAAACTAGAATTTGTGCACTTGCTTAGTGGATGGTATTGGATTGTGACTAGCTGTACAGCGCTGAGAACTCCCTGGGATGGGCTGTCGCCAGCAGTGTGCAGAACAAGCATTTCCACCCTTCCTCAAGAGAACTGACCAAGTGTTTTCTTAGAACCAAAGGTTTAAAAAGTTGCTAAGATGTATTTGCTTGTAATATAGCTGTAGAGATATTTGGGGGCGGGCTCAGTGAGTTTGGGGGGAAATGGGTGGGAGGGCGGTGTTAGGAAGACAAATTGGTCAGCTTGGCTCGGGGAGAAATCCGGTCAAATAAAAGTAGTCCCGTGGCCCGGAGGATTTTTCTTTCCCTGTTGCTCAGAGACTGCACTGGTCACTGCAATGCTCGGGCCTGAACGAGCAGGAAAACAAACAAAAAGAGGCCTTGAGATCCAGCTGCCATTACCTTAGCCGAGCAGACGCGCGCATCCGAGCCTCTGACAGCCACCCCAGGCCTAGAGCCACGCGTTTCTTTTCCAGACAGTCGCAGCTGCGGTAGGCGGTGAGGAAGCAAGAGAAGTGGGGTAGCGGCGTTTCTCTAAAGCGGGTGATTAAGGATATATACACAGTTACACTTTTTGCTGCTTTCTTTTTCTTCCAAGCCAGCCAGCCAGTTCCTAGCAGAGTCAGCCAGTGAACCCAAGACCCGAGTCATTTCTTGATGTGAGCACTGGAGCTTTCCTCACAGCAGCGTGGCAGGAAGGAGGAGGGGGTGAAGGGCACCAGGCATTCCCAGGGGCTATGCTTCCTTGTTTGCTGTTGCTTCGTTCTGTTCTCTCGTTGGTTGTTCATAGTTTTCATTGAAGCTCTAGCTTAAGAAGAAACTTTAAAAAAAAGACTGGGGATTTTTTTTTCCTTATTATATACTGATCCTACAAAATAGAAACTACTTCATTTTAATTGTATATTATTCAAGCACCTTTGTTGAAGCTCAAAAAAAATTATGCCTCTTTAAACTTTAGCAATTATAGGAATATTTATGTAACTATCTTATGCTTCAGAAAAACAAAAGTATTTGTGTGCATGTGTATATAATATATATATACATATATATTTATACACATACAATTTATGTTTTCCTGTTGAATGTATTTTTATGAGATTTTAACCAGAACAGACAAGCATTCCATATCAATGCTTTTGATCACTTACAAATTTTTGAATAACAAAATCTCATTCTACCTGCAGTTTAGTTAGGATGAGAGATGTGTGAGTGTGTGTGTGGGTGTAGGCATACGCCTTGAGCAGTCAGCATCGCATCTGCTATGGAGAAGGTATTCCTTTATTAAAATCTTCATTTGGATTTGCTTTCAGTTGGTTTTCAATTCGCTCACTGGCCAGAGACATTGATGGCAGTATTTCTGCATCCCTAATCAGCTCCTGGATTTTTTTTTTTTCAAACAACTGTTTGAAACAACTACTGGAATATTGTCCATAATAAGCTGGAAGTTTGTAGTTTGCCTCAGATATAACTGACTGTATACTATAGTGTTAACTTTTCAAACAGCTCTTAGCACTTTTATACTAATTACCCATTTGTTGCATTGATTTTTCTTTTAAAAATGCTTGTGAAAGACACAGATACCCCAGTATGCTTAATGTGAAAAGAAAATGTGTTCTGTTTTGTAAAGGAACTTTCAAGTATTGTTGTAAATACTTGGACAGAGGTTGCTGAACTTTAAAAAAAAATTAATTTATTATTATAATGACCTAATTTATTAATCTGAAGATTAACCATTTTTTTGTCTTAGAATATCAAAAAAAGGAAAAGAAAAAGGTGTTCTAGCTGTTTGCATCAAAGAAAAAAAGATTTATTATCAAGGGGCAATATTTTTATCTATTTCCAAAATTTGTTAATATGATGTTACCAAAATAGATTTACATCAGCCTGATTAGTATAATTTTTGGTTGACAATTAATCCATTCCTGGCATAAAAAGTCTATAAAAAAATTGTAAATGCTTGCTTTTTTGTTTTTCAATCATGGCCATATTATGAAAATACTAACAGGATTATAGGACAAGGTGTAAATTTTTTATTATTATTTTAAAGATATGATTTATCCTGAGTGCTGTATCTATTACTCTTTTACTTTGGTTCCTGTTGTGCTCTTGTAAAAGAAAAAATATAATTTCCTGAAGAATAAAATAGATCTATGGCACTTGGAGTGCACTGGAGTTCTACAGAATGTTTTGTTTTCTTCAAAAAAAAAAAAAAAAAAACAAGGCTGTAAGAGGATTACCTGCAATTTGGTTCTTGGCAGCAAATAAACACTTTGAATCTAAATCATCCAATGTCACCTTGAAAAGGATTCCATGTCTAAGAAATGACTTATCGTCGTCAACGTTGTCAGTTCCATGAACCTCCAGCGTCACAAGCAGCCCTGGTGCTTCTCTCAGAAGGCAGGCTTTTCCCAAGGAATAACACTGCCCCCCCCCCAGCCCCTCATTCCTACCCTCAAATGTGTGGCACAGGTATGCTTGCTGTGAGGGAAACTTAAACCTACCTGTCGCTGGTCAGAAGTCAGAAATGTGCTCATCCTGTCACTGTAGCAAACTCATTCCTTGTGTAGGAGAAGGGTTGTGGTGGGAAACCCCTAGGGTTTTCCTGCTGAAGAAGAAAGAGTTTACCAAGCAAAATCCAGGAACATCATCAAAAGGGGACTTGGAGTTGAGCTGGTAGGAAAAAATATTTTTTCATCCACTTCAGATACACCAACTTTAAGAACTATGAACAGCACTGTTGAGTTTCAAAAAACATCTTTTCTGACTTTCATATGCCTCAAGTTGTGTTTCTTTCATTTAAGACAGTTTTTACAAATGCAGGTTAAATTATTAATATTAATTTTACTGTAGAAATACCCATCTTCAACAATTCAAGGGCAAGCGGCAAGTAAGTTCACTATAGAGTAAGACACTTAGCAAAAGGAGGAACCAGGTCAAGTTCCCCAGATCCCTAGAGAATGGCTGAAACGCCACGTTGATTGAACTCCAAACTCAGCCAGCGCCTTTGCAGCCCCGGTGTCCCAGTTCCTGAGCAGAGTGAGGAACGTGGACGGCTCCGTACGCCTGCAGCGGTTTACGTGGAATTTTTAAAGCCCCCGATAGCACATTCTATACAGACTCGAATTACACTTACGTCGTCAATGAGACGAGGCTGTTGGGAATGTCTCTCAGACCCAGAAAAAACAGGACCCCAGCAGCATCCCACACCAGCTTAGCACGATCTGGAAAAAGTCTCTCCTGCCCATGCTTAGCATTACAAGGCTACTCGAGATTTCACCAGCCCACACCCTAGTGATGGACAGACAGTGCGTGGAACAGTAAGGGGAGGAGCCCAGCACCATAATCAAACATCAAAACACCAAAAACTCGAAAATAAAAATAAAGCTCTCAAGCATTTATTACCTTTTTTTTTCTCAACATTTATTAGATGGCATTGACTTGATTGGAACTGGCAAGTGTTTCATGACTACTGATGTATCCATGAGTAGCTGTTTCTAGAATTAGTACTTCAGGAAAACACACAGGCATGAATAGAATGTATCACAGTAACAGGAAATGGGAGATGCTGCAGCATACAATTTCTTAAGCACCTCAAAGGATATAAACTCCTTTTAAAGGACACTTCACAGACAAGTGAAATGAAATATTTAAACCTCTCAAACAAGATTCTAAAAGTGAATGGCATCTTAATGGTTAAGATTTGTGAACCACACAGCAACCTCAATCGAAATCAGTCATCTCCAACTGTGTCAATGTTTACTAAGTATTGAGCCAAAACAATGTGTTTTCTGGTTTCCTTTCTTCCAAGAACAGCCCGAGTTTTAAGTTTCTGTCTCTCTGGACAATACTGGTAGGTAATATTTATACTGACAATTCTCTTATAAAAATCAGTGTTGGTTCTTGCCATCACTGAAGAATAGCTATAGTATAAATCTCTCAGTGCTTTAATCTGGTTCTTGAATGAGTGCAGCTTAAATCTAGAAAGCCATAAAAACTCTAGTGCACATACTGTCAGTTAATGAAAAATATAACTGCACATGCATGATTAACATTGCTCCCCCTTACCCTACAAAGCTGTAGAAGAGTTTATAATTGTTAGTACTTAACAAAAAAAACCCATCTCTAGAATTCAAAATAGTGCTATGTTTCTCTTGGTTTAATATAAAGACTTGGAGAAGGCATGATCTAGTAATACTGAATCACAAACCCAAGTTCAGGTGTCCTGAGTGTCCCACAGCAGGAAGGTAATGGAAGCCAGCTTTCAGAGTAATGCTACAGGAAGTCTAGCTTGTAGTCCACGAAAGATAAAGCTGTTCTTGATGCTGCCCTATGTAGGACACAGAACTAGAGGAAGAAAAAGAGAACTTGTAAATAGAAATGTCTATTTTGTATGCATTTACACAAGATATATATATACACATACACACAAATACATTTTATATACATTTCACATGTATATAAAAACCCCATGAAGTAATGAGAACTAAATATTAATGCAAGGATCTACAGTAGCAATTTTGTTAAGGGTTTAAAAGGCTATATCCAGCAATGAAAAGTTCTCTCAAGACACATGTATTAGAATTGCCCAGAAATGAGATACCAAAAGGCCATGTCTCTTAGGGTCGCTATGGTGCTTAGAGATACAAGCCCATGTCGTCAGCTCTGTACCACGAGGCTCGTAACACAGCCAACAGCTTCCCTGGTGAAGTCAAAGGAAGGGATCCACACAGCAGCAACCAGAGACGCACTCCTGGCCTTTGATGTGGCCGCTGTAGGGCCAGGCTGGCCAGGGGCTCTATAGGGTAATGAAGCAGGAGGTGTGAGAAAGAGAAGCTTAAGGAACCCTACATCATCCATCCCATCTTTCTCTGGCCAAATGAGGCCACTTTTCTTCCTTCACTTCTCACCTTCCCATTAAAATTAAGGTGGTACATTTTGGCAGCTGAGCCATCATCACTGGCCTTGAAAACAGTAAGGAGAGAGTCCCATCGAGAGAGGAGCGGAGCTCTCCCTCCAGCAGTGCCATCTTCCCAGGCAATGTTCTGCTGGCCCCGAGGAAGAGAAACAGCTAAGGGCTGTGGGTTTCCAGGATGGGTGGAAAAGAGCAATGCAAATTGCCCTCCATCCTCACCTTCCCATGCACGTCCACACCTCAGAGCGTTACACTCCCCTCTAGGTTTCCTCGGGCTCCAGAGCCACCCTTCAGCCTGGACCCCAGCTTCTTTTCCACCCAGCCCTCAAGACACAAAGCAAGACGAAACCACGCCACGTGCACACAAGCAACTCGCCAGCAGCAAGGACGGTCTAGCTGGACGGGGGCTGGAAGGCGGGAGCCGAGCTGGGGGAGCGCTGCCTCCTCGGGGCACGTGGTGCAGGGCCAGTGATAGTCCCAGGTTTTCAGGGAGAAAAGTAAAAATCCCTTCCCCCTGGAGCACTCTGTTCTCTGGGTCATAAAATGCTTCCACGCAGCCCAGTGATAAAACAGCTAGAGAATGCTTCGAAGCTTCTACTATCTCTGGCCCTCATGCCAGTGCGCTGGGGACCCACCATAATCAAAAATGAAGACATGTTCTTTATGTGCATCTCATTCCTGAGTCACATCTAGGAAGAACAAACCTCAGAACAATCCAGCTTTCATACCAAAGCTAGCACAACACAAAAGCAAACAAAGATGTCAACTTTGGTTTCTTTGGTTCATTGTTTGTTTTTTGTTTTTGTTTTTTAATTTCATAATGCAATAGGGAGAAAAAGCTCTCCAACAGAAAAACACAGCTTATTAAAAAAAACAGTACTGTTAGTTTAGCCTTTTCTGCATCAGCCTCCTCGTGGTTGGCTCCCCGTCAGGTCTCTTGCAGGTGAGCCTTAGGACTATTCCCTTCGTGCTCCTGGCTACGCTAGCATTCCCTCTATGGATCTAAGACCGAAGAAAAGCACCCCCTCACCCCCACCTGCATTATCTCACGTCTCAGAAATCCCAGCCTTCCGTCCAACTAGCAACTCCTGATGGAGAAGAGAGAACCCAAGAAGACGCGTGTTCCCAGAGGTCTGCCCTCAAACCTGTATCAAACTCTACACGATGTGTTTTTGGATGCTTTGAAAATTTGTCGCCTTAAAAACTGCCACTTTTCAAGAAATAATTTCATTGAAAACTGTAAGTTTTGCATATATTATTCAGTCCCTCTTTTATCATCCAAATTTTGTTCTTTCCTCGGCAAAGGAAGTGATCTCATCAAAGTCTCAAATGCTCTGCTTCATCCTACTACTCCCAGCCTGTGCGATCTTGATCTTGCTCCTAAGATTTACAGCCCATTTTTTTACTGCCCTGGCTTCATGGAAAGTCCGTCCTTTTCCCTTTTCTCCCTCCCCTCCCAGTCCCTTACCCTAGTCCTGATCATAGTCCCTCTGGGACTGTTCACTGATTTGACTGTCCCCTCCTTCATCCACCCTTCTCCTTCTCTTGTCCCCAGGGTGGCAGAGGCCACCTTTCTCAAGCCCTCCCAGTGTCCACACCTGAGACTCACAGAATTACAGCAGTATCTCCATACTACTTCTTCCACTGCCTTCCTCAATCTTTGTAATCTAGCTCTGGAGATTACTTCCAGCCCAGGACCTCAAATAAAAATAACATTGTATATAACCACGCTTTATAATGTTGGGAGTGTAAGTCACGTTATATCTATCCTCACCCTGCAAAATAAGAGGAATAAAAATTGTGCACATGGAAGTTACTTTTTTAATCTATTAGCAAGACGATACATTTATCGACTAATCAGAACTTCCAAACTTTTGCACACACACTATGCTACAGCTCACCTTTCAGGATATAATCAGTTAACAAGCTCGGAACTTTTTCACTGTCCTCTCTCATGGCACGAAGAACTGCAAAATAAAGAAGAAAGAAAAGGCAACACTTTCAAATTCAGGGCATTTCAATCATTGCAACTTTAATATTAATTACGTGGTGTAACCAAGTCACGCAAACTGATTATTTTCTGGGTAAGAGACCACAAACTGCTGATGTTCAAGAATCTGTTACAGGTGAATGTGTCCTTAATCAGCCAAGACTTACCCCAGCTACCTCCGCACATTTCCCTGGCTTAAAGTTGCTAAACAGTGGAGGCAGGAAAGAGGGAACTGGGTTATGTACACACAGCCTCAGTTTTGTCGCCACAAATACCGGCAAGCGGGTTACCACAACGCGCACTTCTCTGAGCTCAGGGGAACAGGAAGACCCGGGGCCGCAGCCCTCATGAGCTGGAGACATTTCCGGGTAAATGAAGAGTTAGCTGTACACTCTCCAAGGAGCAATCTGTCGGCCTTCTTGGAAACTTCAGGAAAAAACCAGAATGAAGAACAGACTTCCATGAAGCAAGCTGCCTGGCAGGCTGCCTGCTCCCGAGACTCCGGAGGGCCTGGGCGATGCAGCCTCACCCCAAAGAGAATCTCTGACAATTTGATCTCCAAGCAAAGACAAAACAGAAGACACAGCTCCTGTTATCAGCGGTTTAAAAACACCCAGACCGCCCAGGTTCAGATGCTCTCACGAGGAACACTGCCCTCTCCCAGTGGCTGCAGCGCAAGCTCTCTCCAGAGCACCCTGGGGAAAGGCCTCCCTACTTCCCCCGGACGTAGACCAGGCGGCCTAGCGTAACTGTCAAACCAGCCTTCCTGCATGTGAACCCCGGCCCTGCCGCCTCCTGGCAGTGGGACTTTGAGCACGTTACTTAACCACTCAGGGCACCCCGTTCCTCATCTGTAAAATGAGAATAATCATTAGATGTGTCACACAAAGGTTTGTTGTGAATATTAAGTTACTAATTCAGATATAAAGGACTTAAAACACTGCCTGGCACATAATATATGCTACGGAAGCATTACCATCCCTATTAACACAACTACTAGTACACGAATTCTCACTCCTATCATCATTACACCTCCAATAGCTCTTACAAGGAAAGCACATCTGAATGCTGACCATCTCCCCGGGGCTTCCCTGCTGGCTAACATCTATAGGTACAGGTGGCGCAGATCCTCCCCAAAGTTTTCAGGAGATAACCACTTTTTCTTAACCTTCCAAAGTAAAGGTCATCCTTCCACCTAATGCCTTCACAATGATCCCATCCTCACAACTAAATTAACTGGGACACACGTTCACACACCCTACACGTGTGCTCACCCCAAAATCCACGTTTACACATCCTACACGTGTGCACCCCAAAATTCCAAACTGTGTCAGTCTACAAAGACATCATCTAAGAACCGGCCGAGGACGTTTTGATGTGGGAACCATTATGACTTTGGTTCGGCTAAGGACAGGTTTGTCCTTGATCGGAAAAGCTGAGGTCCCTGAGTAATTCCTGGCTTCTAGGCAATATTATGCCCCCTTCTTAGAGGGATACTATGTTTGGTATTTCTGCTTCCAATCGTGTTCTAGATTCGTTTTCAGTTCTTCATAAAATCACATACCAAAAGCCAGCATTATTACAAAGAACGATGGACTGAGAAGTACGAGATGCAGCCCTGGAGCTGACCATTCCCCTGTGTGATCTTGGACACTCAGCTTCGTGAGTTCTTTCCGAAAAGCAGAGGGCTGGCCTCCCAGTTAATCTCTTCATTCCTTATTTTAGACAGGCTGGCATTGCGTTAAGTATAAAATGTTTCAAAAAGTACTGTTCCCCAGAGAAAAAAAATAAAAGCCTCAGGTGAGCAGGCAGGCAGCTTGCAAACAGGACACACTTCTTTCCTCGTGCCCCCTGACCCACACCTCCACACTTTCGATTTCCAAAATCAGTATCAGCATCAACACCCACTCATGTGATGCTCTCATTCAGCTCTCTTTAATTAATACTTATCACAAACTGTTACAATCAGAAAGATCAGCAAATTCAATCCCTTCAAAAAAAAGACGAGGCTGAGTGACTGGCTCACCCCAAATCACACATACATTAATTTATTTACTATGAGGTAAACAGAACAAATATTGTCATCCTCACTTTTCACTGTGACCACGAGAGGGTAAATGACTTCCAAGTACATCCCTGTAAACAAGAGGGACGGAATCGGAATCCAGCGCTCCTTTCTGGCTATCACAAATATATATTATATTGAATGTCTCTGAAGTCCAGCAAATTATTTTGAAATGCAAGCCCTTTGAAAGTGAAGTTATTTTTGTCTGCTTTGTTCACAGAAGTATCCCAAGTGCCCAGGATGTGGCCTGGCACAGAGTAGGCCTTCATTAAATATTTACTGAATGAATGTTCTTAAAATATTACTATCAATTTATGTTCTACCTGTAACTACCTACCTGGGGGGTCTAAGTTCCTAAGAAAGCAGTGTTTCAGGCCATACTGCTCCTCAGTCTCTCCTATTGAGTTACTGACAGTCATACTGATACAAGATCCACAAGGAACTTTATGTTTGAGAACATAACCATTTATCAATAAAGAGGTGATGGAAAATTAAGTTACATTTTTCCCCCCAAGATTTCAACTTGTAATTTTTCTTTTTTTTTACCTTTCGAAAAACAGAAAAAAATAAAATCAACACAGATTTAGTGTTGTGTTTGTTGTCACTACCATTTATGGTTTCATTCTTTACTATCCTAAATTGACAAAAACAACACAATAACAGCAACAAACCCAGCCAACTAAAATTAGTATTTAGGATCAGCAAAAGTAAATAAAGTAACAGTTTACTTTTGTCTTTGCTTACTTTTCGTTAATATTTGAAGGTCCTCAACAGATGGCGGTCCGTTTTTTTTCTCATAAGGAATGACCGTTGTCAAGTACTGTCAAGTTAAAAAAAAAAAAGTCACTTAAATCTGAATTACCTTTTCTGCAAAAATCTGATATAGTTACTAGGTCTGTTTTACAAGGTGACATGAGTCACTTCATAATGAACACAGGTATCTTACTATCTCAAATGGAGCTCACTGCTTTGCCCACCACTATCTCATACAAGCCAAGTGTTTACATAAATATCCATTTTTTCGCCTTTCAGTTATTGAAAATTTCACAGGAGTAGGTCTGAGTGTTATCTGTCCAATTTGTTCATTTTTAAAGTGAAGTCTTATCTAACCTCCTTGCATATTTCAACACATTTTAAAAATGGTAATTTAAACTAAAAACAACCATTCTGCATAACAAAACAGTTCCCCACAGTCAAATAGTTCTGTTTCAGATCACTTCTGGTTGAATAAAATAGTCACATGAAAAACTTGATAACTTTAAAAATGCAGACCAGCCTTCTCCTGAAGCTAACAAAGACACTTACCTAAATGATTTTAGAGGTGTATTACTATTATGATTTTAAATTATTGTGTTAAGTAGTTATAAATGTTTAAAGGTATTAAAGGAGAAAGTGAAAGGAGAGAATGGCCTATTGATGAAAATTCATGTCTGATATTGAGACATACTGCCTAGTTTGCTACTGTAAATGTTCAAAAACATCAGTTATGTCCTATAACTACGTCTCATGAAAGCATAATCTAAAAATTATTGTCCAGATTCTCCTATTCTGGCCACTCCATCAAAAAATGTAGAGTTCAGTGCAGCCTGCACATGCTTATCTAGAGATGACTGGATGTCACTTGGCATCTCTCCGGACCCACCCATTACTTAGCCCCTGCCCTGATCTCAGCTCTGTTCCTCATCTGCTTGGAGTAATTTCATCCCACTCAAAAAAAAAAAAAAAAAAAAAACAGAATGGCTCAACAATAACTGGTTCCAATGAACTGTTCAATCTTTAGGAAACTTAAGTTCCACCTTCTTTTTGGTGTGAGCTTCTCCACGGTGATGCCATTTGTAGAACTGAGTAGGTTTCTTTGTCAAGAATACCCAAGATGCTACTAACGAGCCCTCCTGGGGCCCCGCTGATAGCACGCCCGTCGGGCAACCCGGAGAAGCATCAGGCAGCCACGTCTTGGCACGCACGCTGCCTGGCCACACGTCCAGGCCTTCCCGCCCCGCTCCCGCGTGCTGGGTCAGTTTGGAAGATATTCTGCTATCCTGTGGGCTTGAGAGAGGTGAGAGGCACCAGAATAAAATAAAAACTCAACCTTCATGGAGCTCACTTACGAGCTGCAAGTATCAGTGTGAAGGATCATTTAAAGTCAGTTTTTTCCCTTCCTGAGTAACACAGAACCACCTGCAGTAAAAACCTAGGCTCAAATGCCTTCTGCTGGTTAGTGCCCGCCAGCTACACTCTGCACACTCTCCCAGTCCTCACATAAGAACTAAATTGAAGAGTTTTCTTTTTGAAGTGAAAGTTTCAAGTTGTGAACAGTAATTGAAGGACACTCAGTGTAGATGTGCCTCCCCCGTCCGTGACACTCCCTAAAGCATTCAAAAAATGTTAATAAAGAGTAAACTGCTCCACATTTGACTGTATGTTTAGACCCATGTATGATTCTGTATAAATAATGTCTCGTGCCTCATTCAGCAGACAACTGAGTTTGCTGACCACATGATTCACCTTCAAAACACATAAATTTCATTTAAAAATAGGTAAGGTGTACTCTATAGAACTCTAGTCTACAAGAGACCAACACCTGGCATTCTTCCCCCCCAAAAGAGTTTGTTTCTCAGACCTTAAGAGTTAGAGTAGCACATTCTAGTTCAGTTATTTTTACAATTTATATTCTGTACATGCAATTCATTAAGTCAATATGTTAATATTGACTTGTTTAAAGGTAAGGGTGAAATACAGAGCTCTAAAACATGTATTAAGAATGCATTTAGTCTGTTGTGCACTTTGAAAAATGCTTTTTTAAATGGAAATTCTATGCATTATCAAGGCTATAAATATAATGAACTTCTGTTTCCCTCTTTTAAGCAATAGTCTCAGTACATTAGTGAAACTGCCAGTTTTCAGGACCTTCACTTACGCAGAGAATGAAAAAGCAGAGAATGAGGAAAATAAGGATAACCGAGCACCTGTTTCTCTCCACCTGAATTTCCAAAGGTGTGGCGGAGGCCATTCTGAATGACATTTGAGATCCCTTCCATGCTGAAGCGCTAAAGGCAGCAATATACGGCCCGGAAGAAAAGGACAGAGAAAGAAGTTCAGAGACTATTAGTAAGAATGTACCATGATGACTTATGTGCCCAAGAGGCAAGCAGTTAGAAAATGCCACTACTCATTCAGATAAAGCAGACAACATCATGCTGTTTTCAAATGCTTTGGCTTCCATTTCTTTGCAAGTCAAATGCAAAGGCAACTACTTTTATGCTACTATATTCATGAGGATCTTTCCTGATGTAGCTGATAAATCTGCCCCATCGTAAACACTGTAAGTTGTACACATGCTTGTTTTATGCAACATTTACCACATACACTTTAAGATACCTTTTGATATTGTTTACCTACATTTTTTCAAGTCTGAAAACTTTACACTAACAGGATGCATATTTTCAGTCTAAGTTTGCATATTTCTACTAGAAGTTTAGAGAACATTAACATCACATTTGGCAAATGAAAGTGCTGTTACTCGGAGAGCTGAAGACTGCTTCCCACTTGCTCTCCAGGCCACCTGCCATCGCCGTGGTGCAGATGCGAACTGGAGAGCACAGATGCCTCCTGGAGAGCAGACTGGACCCCGTGTGCCAGCGAGGCCCCCCAAGACTTCTGCAGACTTTGCCATTCTGTCTCTAGGAAACAATTCTCGCTTCCTTCTCCCAGCAACCTCCAAGACTTCCTAGAATTCATCGCACTGGAAAGGGTGTATTGTTCTCCTACACTCCTCAGTTTGACTTGTACCCAGTCTACGACGTCATCAGACAGTGAAGAGAGGCCAGTGGCACCTCTGTGGCTGCTGAGTCAAAGGACCTGGACAGATCCTCTTACAGCATGACTAGTCAAGCGCCAGGGCATTCTGAAAAGGAAGTTCAGTCCTGATTCACAGGATGGTTCCTTCCCCGGGAATTTTATAGGGGTGGTTTGAATCAGCAAACATACTGAAGGAGTCAACATAAAGAATAGTTTACCAGCCCCTAAGGAACAGAAAAGAGGAAACCAAGGTGATGGTCTCTGCCCTCAAGAAATGCATAGTTTTTAGCCCAGTAATTCTCAAAGCTTCATCCAGGACCAACACCCTACTCTCTGACTCCACCCCAGGCAATCTCTGAAACCCTTTCAGAGGTCCATAAGCTCAAAATTATTTTCTTAGAAGTACTAAGACATCATTTGCCTTTTTCACTCTTGTTCTCTCATGAATCAAGATGCAATATTCCAAATGAAAGACTGGATGTAGAAACAGATTTGAGAATCCAGCCGTCTTTGATTAAGTCAGATACTAGCTAAACTGACAAAAATGCATAGCAATGCCATTTTTCTCAACTTTTTTACATTGTTATTTCTCAGAAAAAATAAGCTATTGATGTAAGCATTAATGAATTCCTTCTTGGTATTTTTAAATGAGTTAATATGGTAAAATTTTCAGTTTTAACTTCTACTACAGTAAAAAAAAAAAAAAATACCAGAAATAAACTAAAGCTCTGTGGAGTCTTCAATAAATTTTAAGAGTATAAAGAACTCCACATAACAAAAAGCTAAGAGACATAAAAAGGTCTAATCTTTGAAGGAGCTAAATGCCTCTCTCTCAGTCACATACTCAAGGGTGTCACTGAAAATTCGAGTACCAAATTTCACCATCTTGCGGGAGCCTGCACAACTACATCTCTCCTCCTGAGTCACTTTTCTCCCCAGCCAGCCCCTCTCAGATCTGCAGTCCATTTTGTTTGAGCAAGAATCAGATGTCTGGTCAAGACATCTCCACTAAATGCTACACTGTGCTAGCAGCATAACTCACTACTTTTGATGAAGTAGACTAGTTTTAAAAGAAAACCTACAGATAACCATTTTTGTACATTTTCCCCATGCTATCATCATATAGTTTGTTCACATTTTTTAAACAGATTATCAAAAGAAATGACTTCTTAGGCTCCAGTGTCTGCAATAAAACTTATGGGAAACTCTTTTCAAATAGACAGGTCAGTACTTTAAAAAAAGAAAATTATGTCTATCAAATGTTATTTCCTTTCAAAAGCAACATGGAGAAAAATACTTAATTTTCTCTACTATTTCACTCCATTATCTACAGGCATGTTAAAGCCAGATATAAATTCAGAAAAATCTCAAGCAAGGTGAGACATTCTAGAATCCACATCTCACAAAACTAAGGCATACTTCTATTTGAACAGTGTAATCTAAAAACTCCATCTTTACCTGCCCAACTGGAGACCTAATTCCTGACCCTGGCGGGGGGGGGGGGGGGAGAAGTTTACACAAACTTCTAAATTCTTAAGCTATGTATGTAATTTAAGTTTTGCTATTAAATGTCCAGTTATGGACATTACTGAACCAATTTCAATGGCCACTAGCCTGACTACTTGTGAAAGATGACGTTCATGCAACCTAGCTTAGTGGAAATAAATTAAAATGCAATCATGTGAAACCACAGTAACTCAGGTAAATAAAAAACTCATGGCTGAAACTGGGGAAAGAAGTTAAGCACAGGAACTCCCTATAGAACCTCTGCCCTTGTGGCTGACGGTAGCTGAGTCGGTAGCCATGGCCAACCAGGCCCCACTGCAACGTGACCAGGCAAGCAACGTGGCAGCCAGTAGGGCCTTACTGGGAAAATGACAGAACAAGAAAAATCAGAAGGTCCACGGGAGATGAAAGAAACCAACTAAGAGTTCCCGCTGAGAACATCCCACCACCAAGACTCTGGTTGCCGTCAACTCCCACCTGCCCAGGAATCACACAGGAACAATTCTCTCCCTTTAC